GAACTGGTGCTCCTGTCTGCATGGCTGCCTGGACTGGGGCTGCAGCCTGGCTCTTCTTGCTGTGTATTTTGTGAGCTCAATAAAAAGCACTGAGGATCTCTTGCTCCCTGTGCTGCTCTTTTCTCCCTAGATCATGGGGTGGGGGGAGAGCTGCCCAAAACTGTTCCAACATGCCAACCTGTGTGACCTGGTGTAGGGAACCTGCTTTGGCAGGGGGGTTGAACTCGATGATCTCTGGAGGTCCCTTCCAACCCCTACAATTCTGTGATCCCGTGAACCCTTTGTGGGCTGCTACCACGGCCTCAGGAAGGAGACTAGCTCTGTGCCCTGGGGCAGGGACTGAGGGGGATGGCTTTAGCAGCATCTTTGAAGTCCACCCTCAGGAAGCATTTTCCCTCTAAGGGTGTAGGCAGCACTGTGCCCTGGCTCTGCCCTCATGGCACTCTCCTTTCAGGTATGCATACACATTGAGAAGATCCCTTGCACCCCCTCTTTTTCAGGCTGAACAGCCACAGATCTCTCAGCCTTCCCTCAGAGCTGCTTCAGACTCTTTCAGTCCCTTGCTGGACTCCAACCTGCAGACTTGCTGAGGATACTCTGTGCCCCATCATCCAGAACACTAACAAAGATGCTGAGCAAGTCTGGACCCAGCACTGATTCCTGGGGTGTGCTGCTCGTTAGTAATCTCCAGCTAAACCTGGCACTGCTGATGGCCAGCCTCTGGGCTCTGCTATTCAGGCTGCTTTCAATCCACCTCCTATCACCCATCCGGGCCCCACAACAACAGCTTGTTTACGTGCCCTGTAGGGCACAGTATCAAAGGACTGACTCGAAGTCTACCAGATCAGCAATATCCACTCTCAACAATTCTTATCAATGCACCCCAAAAACCTCCTGAATTGTTCAGGTTCTGCTGCACTGTCCCCCCATGGGGTCCCACAAAGGACCAGGGCCTGAGCCTGGTGAGCCTGCTGCCACCTGCCTGTAGAGGGCCTCGTCTGCTTGTCCTTGCTGCTCAGGTGGCCTGGAGCAGGAGCCCATCACAACAGCAGCTCTATCCAGCCCTTCATTAACCCGAACCAGTGAACTCCTGGTTTGCTCCTCCTCCAACCCCGGACAGCACTTTGTGCACTTCAGCTGCTCCCTTACAGGGAGGAGGAGCAATCCAACCTCATCTTTCCATCTTGTCAGTCTTAAAGAGCCTGTATCGCTCTGCTGCAATGCTCCAGCTGTGGGAGCCCCCCACATCTCTCCCCACCTCTGTGATCCCAACAAGGTTGTAGCTGTGCACCTGCAAGCATGCTGTGTTTATTCCCTATATGCAATAGTGCAGTAGTGTGGGGGCACCTCATGCTCCCCAGCATGCAGCTTCTGTAAGAGGTCTGGGGTGCTTCCTTGCGCTCACTGAGTGCTAAAAGTGAACCTGATGAAGCTTCACATTAATTTTGTGACTCCCCATCACAACGCCTCGTGCCCTTTGTTCAGTAACTTTGTCCACTGTTCCCTCCTAGAGCTGCTGATTCCTCCCCTTCTCCTGTTCTCTTAAAGCCTGTCTTACACATTCAGCCACTCCTGGTGGTTCTGGTCTCCTAGTTTTTGTGCTTACTTTGTAACCAGCAGGGACTGAGGGGGCTCAGAAACTGCAGTGTGACCTCAAACTTCACCTTAAAGTGTCAGGTTAGGTGGAAATCAGGATTTGGAAGCAACAGGCAGGAAATGTCCTTGTCTTTTCCTGCTCCTGGTGGTGCTGAGCAGGCTCTGGAGAATAGCTGTTTGCTGCACTCCTTCTCTGTCCCAGTGAACCCATCCCTCCTGTTCAAGCTGGACTGGAAGATGCCCTCTCCCAGCAAATGCTGAAGCTGAAGAGCTTGCAAAGGTGCCCCAGTCTGAATGGTGCAGCTCTGTGTGCGCTGCTGTGGTGAGGCTGTGCCAAGTAATGCTTGAGGCACGCCTGTATGCCTTCCTCTTTTCCTCCGCCCACCGTGTCTCCTCAGGCCTTTCCTGCTGTGTGCTCCTTGAGGCTGGAGGTGAGGCCGTGAGGCATTAAGAGGCAAGCATTACTTTTATCAAAGAGAACCGAATCCACTCACTCCCAACTACTGCAGAGATGTGCGCCTGGGGGCTCTGGCGGGGCACGCTCACACGACACAGATGGAAGGGAAACCAGCTCTCAGAACTGCTGCTGAATGGGCAACAAGGAACCAGATCATTCACCGTTCCATTTAGAAGGCCTGCAGTCACTGTGGCAGGAGGAGCCTACAGCAGAATTTGTCATGCTGTAGCAGCCCTCAGGAAGGTGAGATGAGCTCAGGTGTCTGCAGACTCTCGTTTGGAGGATTTCATAGCTCCTAGCTGCTCTTCTCTTGGACTAATAGGAAAGGATGCTGTGACCTTGCTGTTTTGCTATCATGGTGTGGACCCTCTCGATGAAACGGTCTTATCAGCACACAGCCCAGCTCATATTTTTGTGGTAAGAGCCTGTTCCTGTTAATAATATCAATTCCTGACAGCTGCTTCTGCGTACATTTCCCCATGGGAAGCCAGCAAGAAAAAAACTACTGTGGTATTGCAGGGTTCAAGCACGCTCTGCCCAGGATTTGGCTCCCTCTTTCCCCTGTAAACAATAGATGTATTGCAGGAAAGGGAATCCAGACGGATTTGGGAGCTGGTGCACACAGACCTACACTCAGAACACAGGGCAAACTTTTTGGCGAGCACCGCTTCCCCCCCGAGTCCTCTTTTGGTGATGCCACTGCTGCTGCTGTGTATGCTGTAGGTCATTCCCAGCAAGAATTCCAAATATGACTCTTCAAAGACTGTGTCAGGCAACTCCTGATAGAGTTCATCTACTTGCTGTCTTTTTCCATAAGAGACATTTTCAGCAGCAGAAGTGAACTCACTGCTACAGAGAACCTGGTAAGAATCTGTGAGAGACACACTTTTCATTCATGACGAGGGGTTCTGGCCAAATTCACAAGTGGTTCTGGTTCTGAGTTGGAGGAGAAGCTCCCAGAAACACACAAACAATCATTCTGTATTCTGTCTGTGGTATTTATCTTCCATTCCCAGAGAAACAGAGGCACTGAAGAACTCTCTTCTCCTCCATTACTCCTCCAAGTGCTTCTCTTGATGCTCTCATACATCATATCCTAATTTCCACCCATTAGTATCATCTGTTCCATGTTTTCTTCATTACGCAGACTCTGGCTGATCTAAACTCACACACATCCCTTGGGAACCAAGCAGAATGCCTTCAAGCTGTGGATGATAAGCAAACACCAACTTACATATAATCAATCCCTTGATGAGCTATTTACCATGTGACATTACCAAAATATTTCTCATTGGGAACTATGTTTATCTCAGTCTATTTTTCAAACTACCCACAGCCCTGAAAATTCACATCCTGGTGTTCAGACACAAGCTTTCTCTCTATCATCTTGCCTTTTGCTTCAAGATTGCATCTACTTGACTCTGCAAACATTAATTTACCTACAGAAGCTGATTTATCTACAGAAGCCTGTGTCCTCCGGCACACATTTCTTCTCCTTCCACTGCTTCCCGTGGCTTAACACAGAACAATGAACACTTGTCAGAGAAAGCAATAGACTAAATGAAGAGTGGAGTTATACCTGGAACTCATTACAATCACTGAGAAATTCAGAAGCACTGAAAATAGAAATCCAATCTCAGCACTTGCAAGGAAAGGAATTAATAAGTGATCCTTCAATCGAGACTGACTCCCTTCGCTTCAGCCACACCACTTCAGGACACTGACACCAATCACTGGATGCCTGCCAGCAAGGTGGGAGAGTGGCACAGCTGGAGAACCTCGATAAGTGGTTCTCTTCCTTATTCTTGGGTCCAGCTTCTCAGAGGTATGCAAGGAACAGTCAGCTGCTTGAATAAACCTTGAGGTTCTGGGTCCAGTCAGAGCTAAGCTTTAAGGAAGAGCTCATGTTTACTTTGGTTGCAGAATCTAGGCATAAGAATGCTTATTCGGACCAGCAGATATCCCTTGGGCAGCACTAACACCAAGGAATACGATGATATTTCTTTGTGGAATCTCTCCCGCCTGCAAATTCAGGGCGAGGGGAAGCAGAAGTGTGATTTGTGATTTCCTCTATGGGTATTTTGCTGCGAGTTGAACTGAATTAAGAAAACAAACCTAAGTCTGAGGTGAACCTCAGTGTAAAAAATCAGCACTGGGCAAACACTGAAGTGAATACATCACTTCCAGAACGCTCTTTTAAGGACTGTTACACCAGGGAGAGCACGGCTACCGACTCAAGGGCAGCACCAGCCATCAAGCCATCACACATCACTAATAAAATACCAGAGGAGTGCAGAGAAGGCAGGCAGAGCTCGGATGCAAAGGCACTTAAATGGTGATAGGAGCTGTAAGCGGTAAGGGATGATGGACAGAACATCAGCAATACCTGAACCACACAGCTACGCCCAGATGGGCCTCACCATGTTTTACGACTGCAGCGGGCCCCATTCTTGAGCCAGGTGATCAGTCAGTAAATCACCTCACTGCAGCACTTCATCAAGCCAAGCACGAGGCGAGGCGAGGCAAGGTGAGGCTGACAGCAGGCGCGGCAGGGCCACTCCAACATGGCGGCTCTCACGTGACACACAGCCACGAGCCTCGGCTCGGCCCGGCCCCGCCCCACTCTCTCAACTTGGGTCATTCCGGAGCTGGATTGGCCAGCTCCGGAATGACCCAACCAAGCCTCCCACCACCACCCGACCCAGCGGCTCTGAGGCTTTATTGGCTGTGGGGCCGCCAATGAGTGCCCGTTCCTCCCGAGGCCCCACCCCCTCGGACCCTGTCAGCGCTCGCCGCCATTTTGGCCCAGGCACCGCCACTCGACGCCCCGTTTCTCCGCCTTTGCTCTCGACGGGCTCCGCTTCTCCCGGGGCAGCTCGGTCCCGGGCCGGTCCCTCGGTGAGGGCGGGAAAAGTCATCTGAAGGCACAGCGGTGAAGCTGAGCCCGATGGCGGGCGAGGGGCCTCCCCTCTGGCCGCGGTGCTGCACCGCCTCGGTCCATGTGGGTGCGGATGAGGCTGCGCTGCGCTCCGGGGCCGGGGGGGGGCAGCAGGCGGCCGAGCTCTCCGAGCAGCCGGTGCTGCTGCTGCGGGGCTGAGGCGAGTGGCTCGTCTGCCTTTCCTGGTGCCCGGCTCCAGAGCCGGGGCCGCCGTGTGGAGCTGTGCCAGCGTGGCCGTTGGTGCCGTGCCGCCGTTGCTCCCCTCCCGCCGTCAGAGCCCTCCCCGTGGCCGGGATTCGGGACCGTGGGGCTCATCTCCGCCTCTCCTGGTGGCCGAGGCTCTCAGCTTTGCCCTGTGTCACCTCCCTGCCAGCGTGCTGCTCTGCTGGGACTTGGCATTGGTGAGGGGCATCCCTCAAGGGATTGCACTTCTCCCTGGTGTGAGGCACCCTGCAGAGGAGGGCCCCTCTGGCTCTTGGGATCTCAGCCTGGCCCAGTGGGCAACCTGGGCTCATCTTTGGGCCTGTTTTCTATGCTGGCTCTCCTGCGCAGGCAGACTGTTCTCGCCCTGTACCCCAGCTGGGATCAAGGGAAGCAGATGTTATTGTATGCAAAATATTCAGTGAAATGATGAAATATTTAATGAAACTAAGGTATTTAAACTGCAAAGTCAAGCTGTGGAATGTCAGAATGTACCGTAATGTGGGTGACCCCAATTTCTGTGTCTGTGAGCTGCCCGTGGCTCCTCTCAGGCCTCCCAAGGCACAGAGAATGGTGCTCAGTGTGAGGAGGGTGCAGCGGTGCATCGAGGTCAGGTCAGGAACCTGTGGCAGCTTGCTCCTGTCAGCCTTCCCCTGGGCACGTCACACATCCCCATGTGGGATCTGGGGTTTGCAGAAGGGTGGGGAATGCTTTGAGGCCATGTGGTGAGGGTAAAAATCCCTGCTTTGCTGCAGAGGTTGACAGAGCAGGTCTGGCTCATTCTCCCAGCACACAGGCCTTTGGAGTGGCAGGTGGCTTGCCCTGACACCTCGACAGGTGACCAGGCACACTTTGCAGATCAGGAGATGCTGCGGCACCCAAGCAGACATGGAGCCAGCATTGGAGCCCAGGCGGGTGAGTGGGGCTGTGCGGGGCTGCTGGGCCTTGGCACACATCAGGGGGTCCCGGTCTCTGTCCTTACGTGGCCCTCGGCAGCTCTTTATCTCCATCTCTCATCTGGAATAATGTGCTTGTGTAATGGCAGCTTTTTAGAAGTACATTTATTGATGCCAGTGCAGCAGGAGCTGTGAGGAGATGAATTGCTCCTTGCTCTGCCAGGGCTTTCAGGAAGCAGGAGCTGCATGTTAACGGGGTGAGAACAGCTGCCTCATCCTTTCCTGCATCCTCTACCGAGGGCAGTGGGTAGTTCTGTGCCTGTCACAGGCAGGTGTCCCCACACAGAGCGTCCTGTCAGCTCCTGGGGAGGCACCTCCAGAGCCGGGATGGGGAGCTGGGCAGCGTCACAGCGCATCTCTGATCCACAGCACAGCACAGCTGTCTGCCATCCATCCATGCCCCAGCCCTGAGGCGTGCTGGTGCCTCCCTGCCCGGAGCTCTATCCCTGCTGCTGGGGATGCTCAGAGCCCTGCCCAGAGGTGTGGTGAATTTGCACAGCCTCAGCTTGTCCTCCTTTGGCAGCCGGGGGGAAAAGAGGAAGAGAGGAGGGCCCCCAGCCGTCCCCACTGCCCTCCCCAGCCCCATCTGTCTCCCTCCTTTCCTTTCTTACAAAAATATTATTATAATGAAACCGGCCCCGAGGCGCAGCCCGGCGCCGCGCAGCCGTGGGCTTTGGGACCCTGGAGCCGGGCTGCGGCGGAGGGCGGCAGGTGCCGGGGCTGCGGCGCGGGGCTGTGGGGGCACGGCGGCCGGTCGGGACCGGGGCGCAGCGGAGCCCTGCCCGCGGGGCGGGGGTGTAGGCGGGGGGAGGCGTTTGCGGCTCAATAACGCCCAGGAGAAGTTGCGAGCGGCGAAGAGAGACAGAGAAGGGGAAAAAACACCCCGACACTCACCCGCCCCATCCCTCCTGCAGCTCCGCTTCCTGCCCAGCTCAGCTCGCTGCAGCGTGACCGCTCCGCTCCTCTCCATCTCCGGCACCCTGGGCACCCCGGGCCCGGCGGCAGCGCCATGGGCAACGCGGCCGGGGGCATGGAGGGGGCTGCGGCCAGAGAGAACCGAGACCCCCGGGCTCCGGGCCCCGCCGCCGCCGCCGCCACCCCACCGCGGCCGCCGCCGCCCGCCCGGCAGCCCATGCCCTCCGCGGACGAGCTTGAGGAGCGCTTCAGCCGCGTCCTGGTGAGTCCTGGAGAAGCCGCAGTCCTGGCCGGGCTTTGCTCTGCTTTTTTTTTTTTTTTTTTCCCTCCTTTCCCATCCCCGCGGCGTGGGCCGTCTCCTCCCGTTGCTCACGGGAACTGCCGGCGGGATGCCCCGATCTCCGTGCTACCCGCTCGGGTGATGCTAATCGGCTAATCGGCCCCGGGGATGCTCTGCAGCCGCAAGGATGAGGCTGAGAAGCCGGCGGCAGGCCCGGAGCTGGCCGCGCGTAGCCGGCGAGCAGTGCCAGCCGTGCACGCTGCAGCGAGCCGGTGCTACAGATACCAACCTGCCTCGCTCACCTCCTCCCCTGCTCCTCTACGGCATATCCCGGCAGCGCTCTCCCTCACCCTCTCCCCCTCCCTCTCTCCATCTCAGCGCCGGGGTGAGAACTGGGCAGATCAGCCCCAGCCTCGCTGCGTGGTCTGTTGCAAACCGCCGGCTTCCCTGTGCCGTGGGGCGATTCCCCCCCTCCTGCAGCCCCACAGCCCCATGAGGCTCTCGGGTAGGCAGAGCAGAAGGAGGTGAGCTGAGTGCCGGGCACCGGCAACGCTGGACTGAGCTGCTGGCAGCTCCTCTCTGTCCTTGGGAGGGGAAGGATGGCCGTGACCTTCGCTGTACAGCTGTGCTGGACGCGGTCCCCGTGCCTGCGCCTTCCCCCGCACGCAGTGATGTGGCCTTTCCTCCCTCTGCAGCTCCGGAGCGGGAGGCGAGAGCAGCGCGGCTCTCCCTCCCCGCAAAGCCCCGCACGTGGGGAGCTGGGGCACGCTCTGAAGGTCGTGCTCCCGTGTGTCCTCACTAACCAAAAAGCTCTACGGCAAAGTCACGTCGGCAATGCACCGAGAGCAGGGAAACACTTTCTGCGTTCATATTTGCTGCTTTAATCCTCTTATCCCCTGCAGCGAGCCCATGCGCTCACCTGAATCGGTGCAGGAGCAGCAGCCCGGCTCTGGCTGCGGGCTCAGCTCCGGCGGCTGCCGTTACACAACGAGGGCCGGAGCAGCACCGGCGCCGTGACCTGAGATGCTCCGCGGTGTGTGTGTGGCCCCGCGGCAGGCAGGACCCGCCGGCCCGGCCCAGCACAGATTATTTACAGGCTTTTCCGCCGTGCAGCAATTACAGGAGGATTATGGGGACAGGCATCGCAGTTGAAGTGTCTGCTTTGCCTGCAGACACGGGCTGTGACTCCTCTGCATCTGTTTTGGCTTGCTGTCACTGCAGAGGGATCACAAAGGGCTCTGCAACACAGGGTCTGGGTGATGCTCCTGGGACCCCCGGGACGGGGCTTTGCTGTAACTTGCTGTGTGCTTTGGGTGCAGACTGCAGGGTGAGGTTCAGATTGCGGCTGTGCCTGCAATGGCTCTGGGGTGACGCGTGCGGTGCTTTCAGGTAGGGGATGGGGACCTTGAGGTGCTTCAGCTGCGATTGCGAGGCCTCAGGAAACACCACTTTCCGCTGGTGAGATGGGGCCTAGGTGTGCTCCAAGGGGCTCAAAGGCCTAAACTGAGAAGTGATCAAAAAGGGCAAAGTGGAGATCCAAAGTCTCTCCCAACCCTCCTGGGTCCCTGGCAGGGCGCTGCTGGGAGGAGCGCGCAGCTTTCAGCGACACGGGAACCAGGCTTCTTGTGAAACTGGCTGTCCCAATCTCTCTTCCTCCTTTCACAGAGGCTCCCTTCCCCCTCCTTCCATCCCACTCAGGGCAGGGGAGCAGCAGGACCCCCACAACTTAGGAACAAAGGACCTTCAGCCACACCAACTGCCTCCCCCTGTCTGGTTTCAGGTGCAGGGTAAGTCCCTGCATAACCCTCCCCATGCTGGCTTTGCTGTGGTCGCAGCCAGCCACCTCCAGCCAGGGCATCGCTGAGATGTTGGGCCCCTGAGGGACACTTGGTGGATGTTCAGGCTCTCTCATATACCTCTCATATACCAACTGTATTTTTAATCACCTCTACAAACTCTTGGTGTTAATGGATTCACTTCTTTACTTCTAAGGGTGTGGGATTAGCAATAAGGTGTGAAGTGGTGTGCTGGTGATCCATCTGTGCTATTGCTGGTACATGACCTGGGTCCATCACAGAGCCTTGGGGACAGCAGTGCCATAGCAGGGCTGCTGCATCCTGGTCTTGTGAGAACACATCGGTGCAAACCAGTTTCTGGGCAGGCATCCCAAACTGGGAGAGCTACTGGGAGAAAGCCAGGTTGAAAGTCAGCCCAGGGCTGTCAGGCCAGCAGCGAGGTCTTGGGGGTCCCAACTGCCACCGTGTGCTCAGAAATGGGGAATTCTGTATTAGTGCAGAAATTCTGGCTTGTTCCCAGCTAGGGCACCCGTGACAGATGCTGCATTGGCAGAGGGATGGCAGGGCTGTTTCTGTGCCAAGCAATTTGGGAAGCGCTGGTGTGGCTGAGGAGTTAGGCGATATGGGGACAGGAGGAGGAAGGAGTCAGTCCCTGGCTGCTGGGCCAGGGGTATGTAGGTGTGCGTGTTCAGGGCAGTGTTGTTCTTCCCCTTGACATATCAAGAAGCAAACAAAGGTCCAGGGAGGGCTTAAATGAAGCAGTGAGATGAGGGTGTGGTGGAGGTGAACCACAGCTGGGCTGCCTGAGCATCCAGAAATAGCTGCGAGGGCTCTCAGATGGGGACGGTGCTGGTTCTGCTGGGAGATTTTGCTGCTGAGCCGTGGCAGCTCCCTGCTCAGCTGGTCACGAGAGCTTTGCTTTGGCCCCTCTGAGGACCCGGAAGAGAGATCAGCCACATCCGAAGGGGCAGAGACCTAAAAACTCTCTGAGCCCTCGAGGAGCCGGGTGGCAGATTCCCCCAGAGCCCTTGTTTAGCTGCTGGTATCACCTAAAATCCGCAAATGCTCTGTGAAATCAGGGCAGCCTGTAGGGCAGAGATAGAAACTGGGAGACCTCAGAAACTTCACGTTGCTGAAGAATCATGGCGTGCCGCGGGGCCCCGCGTGGCCGGGAGCCACTGGTGTGCGTTTGCAGTTGTCCTGGGGAACCAGCAAACGTCACCCTGCAGATGTTTGCAGATGGACCGCCGGCCGGAGCGCGGCGCTGGGGTTGGTCGCTGTGAGCCTCAATTGCAGCCGTGCTGTGTGCTGGGGGATCTCACCCAGGAAAGGCAAACGGTGCCCTGCTTCCTGCTGGATCCGTCCCCAGCCTGGTCCCCGTACAGCACAGCAGCATGCGGGATGGTGCCATGCTGTCAGGGCTCCTGTGCAGCTCTGCTGATGTCCCCAGTGTCCCCATGCAGGGACGTTTGCCTGCGCAGCTCGGTGATGGGAAGGAAGCCTGTGCTGTGTGTCTGGCTCAGCCCTTGGCTGAATCCGGAGGGTGTCCTGATGTGGGGATCCCCCTCCATGCTGGCACCAGGCGGACACTCGGTGGGGAGGTGAGTGTGGCTGACAAGTCTCATTTCCCTGCCTGTGCTCAGAGCAGCTTCTGCTTGTGCTTAAAATAGAGCCGGGAGCAGCAGGCAGCAGGGAGGCTTTGGCCGCAGCTGCGTGGTAGCAGTGCCTGTCCTTTAGCAACTCCTTACCCTCCTTTGGGGTGGGCTCTGGCCCTTGGTGGGGTGCTGCCTGCTTCCCCACCAGCTTTTCCCCTCTGACACCTGGCAGGTTTGGGACCTGGCCATGGGAATCCCTCGCAGGGTGAGGTGCTCCTGGGAGTGCTGCCCTAGCCCTGGTAGCTGTGTGCTGGGGTTTGGGAGAGCTCAGGCTGCCCCTGTACCTGGCACTGAGCCTTGGGAAGAGGTCGTGGCCCCTGTGCCGCGTCAGCGTAGCAAGGAGAGATGTGCTTGCTGGAGCGGGATGGGGCTGGTGCCTCTCACTGGGGGGCAATGTAGGAAGAGCTGTGCCACAGAGCGGGTGTGCTCCAAGCCCTGCCTGGCAGGAGCATCACCTTCACAGCATCACCACAAGGGTTGGAGTGTCCTGGGACTGGCACGTCCCGTTGGCTGCCAGCCCACCTTTCTGCTGTCATCACTCTTCCCTGTGGCCTTGAGCTGGGTGCTGTCCTGTCGCTGCTGCCCGGCATCTGGGCCTTTACGCTGGGCTGGGAGCAGCTCCCCATTGCTGCTGTGTGGCTCTGCATCTGCCGTGTGCCCTGACACTGCTGCTCACACAGATCTGCACGTGAGCTTCCAGCTCTCAGCCCCACGCGCTGCCCCTCTCTCCCCACAGCCCCGTGCAGGTCAGGAAACCACAGAAGACGCCTCAGCAGCTCAGCCAGGATCCCTAAGCAACGGGCGTCTTGTTTCAGTCTGGGTTTCACTCGAGCTGTCCGGGCAGCCAACCAGCAACGGCAGCACTGCGCGTGTTTTGCAGAGCTAACACTTCCGTGGTGGATGCTTTTAATTTTCTCTCAGAGTGTAGAGACTGGCCCTGCTTGAAGCTGCTCGGGGTGTGGAATAAAAAGGGAGTGCCTGACACCCAGAACCCCTCAGCCTGCCCAGCAGGGTTCCTCTGCGTGGCCTCATGCTGCTGCTGTACAACCAGAAGTCCTTTTCGTAGTGGGAAATGATGTAGGTGCTGCCTCCCTCTGTCTGGTTTCAGGTGCAGGGTAAGTCCCTGCATAACCCTGCAGCAAGTTCTCCCCATGCTGGCTTTGCTGTGGTAAGGGTCGCAGCCAGCCACCTCCAGCCAGGGATCGCTGAGATGTCACTGCAGGTGCTGGAGATGTTGGGCCCCTGAGGGACACTTGGTGGCATCTGTTCAGGCTGCCAGGAGCACGGCAGGCAGCAGTGCTGCTCAGCAGCTGTGTCTGCCCTCGTGGGCTGTGCAGCCTGCTGTGGGTGCATCCCATGGCACAGTGGGATGGAGATGGGCTTGACAGTGGGTGCTGGGTGGGATGAGGTTGCCAGTCTGGGATGTGATTGCTGGGGTAAGTCCCCTTGTCCCCTCCATCCTTGTCCTCACCATCCCTATCACCCAAGGAGGAGCGCTGAATCCTGCCTTTGCCATCTGCAAGGTCTCCTTGCATCACATCTCCTGCTCTGCCCCACGCCCCCAGCAGCACCAGGGCCTCCATCAAGAAGTGAGAAGCAGCTTCTTTGTGCTCCTGGCTGACGCCACGGACCACAGCAGAGTGTCCTGGGTAGGAGGCCACTTCCTTCCCCTGCACCACGTGCCTTTGTGGGGAAGGCATCCGCCACCCTGTTTGTAACCCAGACAGTGCCACATCCTGCCCCCGGGCCCAGCCCTGCTTTGTGAGGAAGGGGCTGTGCCCTCACTGGGGACAGCAGGGGTTGGTGGCAGAGCCCAGCATGGCCACCTCTGTAGGGACATCTCTGACATCCCACTCTGCCTGCATTCTTGGGGCAGGGAGTCCATGCAAGGCCCTGTCCCATCAGTGAGGTTTGTTCTTGGCTTTTCAGAGCTTCACAGCTGGTAAAATCAGGCCCTGCTGGTTTAATTTTTGGATTGTCTTGGGGGAAGCCAGGATTTGCGCTCGGTGATCTCTGTGGGTCCCTTCCAGCTCAGGACATTCTATGTTCAGCCTTTGGAACAGTCCAGTGCAAAGCTTATACACGTGCTGTGGGCTTGGGGTCTGCAGGCTCCCATCTGTTCACATAAACAGGGGAATCTATGAGGACAGGGCTCCCCAGCAGGAAGAGCACTGGGGGTGTCAGTCACCCACGGCAGGTCCTGTGCAGCAACCTGGGCTGTGTCACTGCCATGCCTTCCCAGGGCCCATCTGGCCACTCTGATGCAGCCTGGTGGCCTCACAGTGAGGCTGTTTGTGGCCTCGCCGCATAATTTTGGTGTTGGTGCTGAGCTCACCTGCTGTGGACAGGTGGGGGGGAGCAGCTGGCTCCAGGAAGCCTGGCCAAATCCAGCCAAACACCGCTTGACATGGTGGCCTGGGTCTCCAGGCATCTTGGTGGCCATTGCTTCGGCCTCTGTGCAGGCTCCTTCCTTCCCCCATCACCCGGTTTGGTTTGTTGCAAAAGCAGCCCAACAGGTCGTTGGTGGGAGGTGGGCACTGAGGTTTCCGGTCCTTCCTGGCGTGCTTGCACTTCTCTTTCATGGGCTCCTCTGTGGCTGCCTGCATCTCTCCCTGATTGGCTCAAATCCTGGCCAAACCCTTGTGGGATTCCCCAGGGATGTGGGTGTCCCAAGGGCTGCACCCACTGGTGACTGCATCTTACAGCCCTGCGCTGGGGTAGCCCAAAACTGGAGGTTAAGCTGACTCAACGGGGTTGGATCTGTGCACTGTCTCCATGTGCCATCGCTCTGTCTTGCCAGGCCATGGCTTTTCCAGGCTCTGCTCCTGCTTTTCTTGGGGCTGAGCCTCCGAAAAATTCCTCTTTTGGGAAATCAAATCTCAGACCTTTTAAACTTGAGGCATGTGTGCCGTGCCGGAGGCACAGTGGAGGTCCTCCGAGGCTCTGCAGGTCACCCCGCAGTGTCCCCACACCCCTGAGACGCGCTGGCACTCTGCACTTTGGTGCCCTGCAGGCAGGAGCTGAGCCTGGGGTGTCCCAGGGCCCCCAGACTTGGTGAGCAGCAGTTTTGGTGGCTGCCTCTTGCCATTTGGGGAGCGGAAACCACGTCATGTCCTGCTCGGGCGACCGCGGTGGTGGAGAGGCTGCTGGGTGGGGAGGCAGCGCGGCTGCGTTGTGCAACGCTGGCACGAAGGGACGTGGTGACATGCAGCACCCTGCCCTCAGATTGTGTCCACAAATAAACACTGATTTCACCATCTGCGCCTGTTGTGTGCCTGCGGCAGGGCTCCGGGCCATCCGTCACCCTCAGGCCGTGGAGGCTCAGCCCCGTCCCCAGCCTGGGTCACCACTCAAGGTGGTGGTGCTGCTGGACTCGGATCCAGGATGGCTGAGGCCGAGAGTTTTGCACCCTTGTGACGTGGAGGGGTGACTTCAATTCCCCCAGCACCTCCTGTCCCCCAGCTCCTGTGCCCTCTGCAGTGGGGATCCCAGACACCCTTGGACAGGGAACATTGCTGATGGGTCTGTGATGCCTGATGGTGACATGAACACATCCTGGGGATGGCAATGTCCCCATGGTCCCACCAGCAAACAGAGGCACTGGGTGCTGAATGAATGGGGAGCACCACGTGCCCAGAGGAGACTCTGGGGACAGCCGTGCCCCTGACACCTGTCTCCCCACAGAGCTCCATGAACCTGCCCCCAGACAAGATGAAGCTGCTCAGCCAGTACGACAATGAGAAGAAGTGGGAACTTGTCTGTGACCAGGTGAGGTCTGAGTGCTGCGTGGCACCTTGCTGGCCCTGCTCCTGGCCGTGTCCCCAAATGCCACTCACAGTTGGTGGCTGCTGGTACATGAGGCTGAAGCGGTGGATCTGAGTGCTGGCATCCATCTCCATTAGTGAGACAGCAGCTTATTAACCTGATTAAACATTTATAGGCGGCCATCTGCAGTACAGGGGGTGGGTGGCTGCTGTGCTTCTGGGCAGCGCTGGGAGCTGGGACATTTCCCCATGCTGCATGCAGATGTCCTGGCTTCAGCCTCTCTGTGTGGTTTGTAGGAGCGTTTCCAGGTGAAAAACCCGCCGTCTGCCTACATCCAGAAGCTGAAGAGCTACTTGGACACGGGCGGTGTGAGCAGGAAGGTGAGGGCTGCCTTACACCTTGTGAGTCTGCCTTTGTTCTCCTGTGCTGGTCACCAGCCTAGTGACCCTTCGGCTGTCCCTGTTCCCTCAGTTCAAGCGGCGAGTGCAGGAGTCAACACAGGTGCTCCGGGAGCTGGAGATTTCCTTGAGGACCAACTACATCGGGTAAGGAGTGGGGATAATGGACATAATGGGGCAGAGGCTCACGTGCTGATGGCTTCTGGCTGTGGGAGTGACAGTGCGATGTGGAGGCACAGGTAGAGGCTGGTAGCCTCATCCTGCATGTCTGGAAGGACTCTGATGAGAGGATGGAGGTGCTGAGGCAGCAGCCAGCGGTGCTCCGACTGCTGCAGAACCCAGTTCCCATTTTGGCCATGCCAGTTCATTGCCACCTATGGGACCCTGCCCCCCACACTGGGTACCCTGGTTCCTCATGGCAGGAGGGTTTCCTGTGCTCTTATCTGGGCATGGGGACCTGCTGCTGCTGGGCTGTTCCTTAGGGGTGGCAGCAGAGCCTGTGGGCTGTGTCCCTTGCAGGTCAGGCACTGGGATTTTGTGACACACACCTGTCTTGAAGAGATGGCACGTGGTGCCATGTCCCCTGCATGTCCTAACATAATGTCTGGGGACATCTGGCCAGGGTGTGCCTAGGTGCCTTCCCCACCCTCTGCTGGGGATGTGGAAGGGGAGGTGGGAGGTAGAGAAGGATTGGAATACCCCACTAACCCCTCTTCTCCCCAGCTGGGTCCAGGAGTTTCTCAACGAGGAGAACAAGGGGCTGGACGTGCTGCTGGAGTACCTCGCCTTTGCCCAGTGCTCTGTCGCGTACGTCCCCACTGCCACTGGCATTCCAGCCGCCCCTTTTCCCCTGATCCCCTGCCCTGATGCTCCGTCACTGGGCTGGGGTCAGGCTCAGAGGGGCTGGGCGGGCTTGGGGGGCTCTGAACAGCCCACGTTCACAGCCCTTGGGTCCCCATGTGTCTGCTGGCATTGATGTTGCTCCTTGCCCGTCTGTCCCTGCCCCCCGTGGGCCACCAGGTATGACATGGAGAGCACTGAGAATGGCAGCCCGGGCTCTGAAAAGGGCAAACCCCTGGAGCGGTCAGTTGAGGACCTGAGCAAAAGCAACTCCTCATCTCCCACACACGGCATCTCCAAAGTGCGGCACCTCACCGTCAGGTAACATGCAGCACCCCAGCACCGGACCCCACTCTGCCTTGCTGCCCCCCAGCCCGCCATGCCATGCTGTGCCAGCTCTGAGGGGCTCGGCAGGGAGATGCAGTCCTGGTCCTATAAATGGATTCCCGTCACTGCGTGGGGGACTGAGGAGGGACAAAGTCACGTGTGCTCCCAGCAGTGGATAAACCCTGCTAGGAGGCAGGGCAGAAGCACGATTGGATCCATTCTCAGCATAGCTCCCTGCTGTGGGATGCCCTGGCCAAAAGCAGGAGTGGGGTGATCTGTGAATGAGCAAAATCAGAGCTGCTTGAGATCTGGGGAAGCAAATCCCCAACCCACTGCTTCATCGGGCATGGGAGGGTTTAAAAGCAGCGAGGGTTTGAACGTGACCAGGCCTGCGCCCTCTGAGCGGGCCCAGCCGGCTGGCAGCTCTCGCTTGCTAACCCTGCAGCCCTCTTCTAACCCCGCTCTTCTCTTGCACGCTGCCGGGGGATGTGCTCACGGTAGGTGACGGGGCCAGGGTGCTGGTGTGGCAGATGCCACAGTGGGGCTGTGCAGACCCCCCTGACTCACTGCTGGCTCTGGTGTGGGGACAATCCCTGCAGTCGTCCCCAGTAGTCAGGGCGGTCTGAGGGGACACCCAGCTGTGGCCGTCCTGGGAAGGGAGACAGCTGTCATAGCGTGGCTGGGGGCTCCCTGAGGACCGCAGGGCCTCTCGCCACCTGCCAGCACCTCCGGAGGAGCCGATGTGTCCCCAACCCCAGGGACAGGTCAGGAGCGATGGCTCGGATGTGGCACCCGCAGGGTCCCAGCCCTTTGTCACTCACCATGCCTCAGCCTGGTCACAGGCTTAGAACGGCAGCACTTCGGTGCTTGATGCCAGCCTCTGCGAGCGGCAGCAGCCACCCTGCTTGCCCCTCACCTGTGTTCCCCTGGCCCCCAGCTCTGTGCCCCAGCCACCCCATGGGCCGCGCGGGAGCCCTGTTTCTCCTTCCTGTCTGCAGGCTCTAACGTGCCTCCAGCTGCTGCCTCTCGAACCAGCACATCCACACCCTCCTCCACCACGTCCACCCCAGCGTCCCCTGCAGCGCCCCGGGCAGCGATGGGGACAGTTGCCCCAGGTCACCTGGCAGCTCCTATTCGCCCCGGTGAGCCTCCAAGACCACCCATGCACGAAGGGCACCTGGCCTTCCTGCCACCTCGGCCCCACCATGGCCCACTCCTGGTGCCAAGAGTCCCTTGGGCTTGCAGATGGGAATGGCCACTGAGCCAGACATGGGGTCTCCCTCCTTTTGGGATGCAACTGGCTTGGTTTCTGGGTTTCTGCTGCTGGCTGGTGAGCCCAGGCCCACCAAGGCCGCTGCCTGATCCCTTTGGCCGCCCACCCCCGTGCTGCCCCTGCCCTGCTTGCGCTGCGCCCCCCAGCTGCCCTCGGCTGCCCCCTGCTCAGCTGCCTTCTTGCCTGGCAGGCTCAACCCCTCGCACAGCAGGAAGGCACTGAGGAATTCTCGCATCGTCAACCAGAAGGATGATGTCCATGTCTGCATCATGTGTCTCCGTGCCATCATGAACTACCAGGTGGGCACTGGCAGCATGCTCAGAGATCCCTGAGGTCCTCCAAAATCTTCCGGCCCCTGTGCTGCCCTCTTCAGGGCACTGGGATGGATGAGGAGGAGGAGTACACGTCCTCTCTCCCCAAGCCCTAATGGCATAGGGACACCCAGTCTTTGCACTCAAACGTCCTCACTCAGCCACCTGTACAGTGGGACCATGGCAGGGACATGTCACAGGATCCTTGGCGTCCTTGGGGTGGGCCAGAGGATGCCTGACCTCATTCTTAATCCTTTTCCCCCCAGTCTGGCTTCAGCCTGGTGATGAACCACCCAGCCTGTGTCAACGAGATCACCCTGAGCCTCAACAACAGGAATGCCAGGTAGGATCTGTCCCCTGTCCCCTCACACACCCCACAGCCCTGGTTCATTCCTGTGTCCCCACAGGACAAAGGCACTCGTGCTGGAGCTGCTGGCTGCAGTCTGCCTGGTCCGAGGTGGCCATGACATTATCCTCGCTGCCTTTGACAACTTCAAGGAGGTGAGTCTCCAGCAGGGATACAGTGTCTCCATGATGACACCTGTGCTTTTGCCTCAGTTTCCTTTAGTGCAGCAGAGTCCTGCCCCACTGGAACACCTTTGATCCTAAAAATTCCCATCTCCTAACTCATTTGAGGCCACTTGAACTGTTGGGAACGATGTTCCCATGCCAGCACTTGTCTCCAGGGCCACGTCCCAGCTGGACCATGGCACTGAGCAGCACCCAGCAGGGCTGGAGAGGCCTTGCCAGTGGCACGTGCTGCCCTGACACCCCAGAGTTGCCCACTCTGTCCCTGCCCTTCCCAGTCCTCAGCCCCTGCTCCCATTCCAGGTCTGCGGTGAGAAGAACCGCTTTGAGAAACTGATGGAGTATTTCCGAAACGAGGACAGCAACATCGACTTCATGGTGAGTGTTCGTAAGGCAGGGCACCCACAGCCTGAGGACCTGCAGCCTCCCGCCTTGGGGGCAGCTCCCATGGTCCACCACTTGGCCGTGTCTCCAGATATGGGGCTGTCCCCGTTGTGCTGAGTCCCCAAGAGCTGCTGGTCCCTCCCCAGGGTCCCAAGGACAGTCAGACGGGGCTGTGCTGTCCCCAGGGCGTTGTGTCTCGGAGCCAGCATGCCATTCTCTGTCTGTGGGCCACTGAGCCACATCGGTGCCCCCAGACCGTTGTGTCCCCAAGGGCTGCTGAGCAGCTGGCTGTTTCCCAGCCCCCCAAGACAGTGAAGCTGCCGTGCAGCCCACAGGGAACCGTGTTCCCAGGGCCACCATGCTGTGCCCGGGGCCGTGCTGAGCCTGCTCCCATCCTGCAGGTCGCCTGCATGCAGTTCATCAACATCGTGGTGCACTCGGTGGAGAACATGAACTTCCGCGTATTCCTACAGTATGAGTTCACCCACCTGGGGCTCGACCAGTACCTGGAGGTGGGTGGTGCTGCACTTCCCCAAGACCCTCCATGATCCTGGTGGTGGGATGGGAGCGGGTGGACGCTGTGATTGTCACCGGCCATGACGGTAACACCGGCCATCCCACGGCAGAGCCTGCGTCTCACCGAGAGCGACAAGCTGCAGGTACAGATCCAAGCCTACCTGGACAACGTCTTTGATGTGGGGGCCATGCTGGAGGACTCAGAGACCAAGACGGCTGTGCTGGAGCACATGGAGGAGCTGGAGGAGCACGTCAGCCAGGTGGGACGTGGGCGCGGGGGCCGGAGCTGCTGACGCAAACCCCGCTTGGGGCGGGTGGCGGCCGCGGCTGAGCGACGGTGCCTCATCCCTCATCCCACACAGCTGACGGAGAAGCTGCAGGATGTGGAGAACGACTCCATGGCCAAGATAGCGGAGCTGGAGAAGCAGCTGAGCCAGGCGCGGCGAGAGCTGGAGGCGCTGCGGGTGAGCGCCCGTGGGTGCTGCGGTGCTGCCGTGCACGGGGAGCCTCGTTTGGGATGCGAGGGGGACATTGGTGACACGCTGGGTTTTGTCCCCGCTGCAGGAGCAGCTCAGCCCGCCGCGGCCGCCCAGCCCGCCGACCCCGCAGCCACAGGAGTGCTACCGGCTGGCACTGGAGCGACGGCTGGCAGAGCTGGAGGAGAAGGGGTTAGTGCAGATCCTGCGTGGGCCCGATGGAGACGTCGCCATCGAAATTGTCCCCGTCGTCATAGAAACTACAGCAGCCCCCGTGGTAACCGGAGAGGCCACCGCCACCAGCACAGGTACTACGGGTGCAGGGAAATGGTGGCTGCCTGCCGTGTCCCCGATGTCCCTTTCATGTTTGGGACGGGTGTCACGGAGGAGGAGTAGCAGCGTATTTGGGACGCAGCAAAGGTCACTGAGGTGGGGGGTGCGGGGATGTGCCCAGGGATGCGGGATCACCCGGTGGCAGTGGATCTTGGCAGTGGCCCCGTGCCCTGCTGTAGCGTCGACTCACCCACTTCTTTCTGTTTGCAGATACTCCGGCTCCAGCTCCATCTCCTGCCCCAGCACACGCTGCCCCACCACCACCCTCACCGCCACCCCCCCCCCCGCGGGCGGGGGGGGGGGCTGGGGCCCCCGGGGCCCCTGGCCCCCCACTGCCCACCGGGCAGCGGCCCCCCCCCCAGCCCCTCCACTGCCAGGTGCCCAGGTACCCCCACCACCCCCACCGCTCCCTGGGGGCCCGGAGGGCCCTGTGCCACCGCCACCACCACCCCCACCGCTCGGTGGGCAGCCCCATGCTGGGCCAGGTGCCCCCCCCACTGCCAACGGTTCAGGTGAGTTGGTCCTGGGAATGCTGGGATGTTTCTGTGAGCATGCTGTGGGCTTGGCCCCCCAGTGACACTGCCCTGCTCTCACCCTGCAGTGAAGGTGAAGAAGCCGATCCAGACCAAGTTCCGCATGCCTGTATTTAACTGGGTTGCACTGAAACCGAGCCAGATCGATGGCACCGTCTTCACCGAGCTCAACGATGAGAAAGTGCTGCAGGTGAGGCCATGTGGGCAGGAGGGGTTGGGAGGAGGGGGCTCAGCATGGCTGGCACCCCAGTCCTTGCTGCAGCTGCACTGACATTACCCCGTGCACCTGCATTGCGGCCGTGCTGGCTTTGAACTTGCGCCCACGTGGCACCCATCTGTGTCACTGCCTCACGGGGCTGCAGCCTCGGAGGAGATGGAGGTCAGCATGACAGAAGGAAGCAACATGGGGCCTGCGCTGTCGTCTTCCTGTTGCCCCTCCTTGTCTCCTCGCTCCATCTCATTCTGCCTACATCTTCTTCCTCATCTTCATCCTTTGCCTTTATCCCACTCCCCTCACTTTGTTCCCTTACCCCCTCATTATTCTCTTGTCTCTCCCTGTCCTCTTGTCCTATCCCTGTCCTGTCCTCATCCCCTCTCCACCTCCTCATCCCCTCCCTCCATCCTCTTCCTTTTCCCTGTCCCACTTATCCTGTTGCAGTCCTCTGGCCGCAGCCCCATCCCCTGTGTCCCACCACAGCCCCACCAGTGCCCTCAGCCCCGTGTCCCCGCAGGAGTTGGACATGAGTGATTTTGAGGAGCAGTTCAAGACCAAAGCGCAAGGCCCCGGCCTGGACATCAGCGCCCTAAAGGTGAAGGCCACACAGAAAGCTCCCAGCAAGGTCACGCTCATGGAGTCCAACAGGGCCAAGAACCTGGCCATCACACTCCGCAAAGGCGGCCGCAGCATCCAGGACATCTGCACGGCCATTGAGACGTGAGTGTCCCCTCCTCAGCGGGGTGAGGTCACACTGAGTGCTTGGGGTGGCGCGGGGTGGGCTGCGCTTCGGGGTGGTGGCGGTGGTGGGGTGCAGCCCGTTGTGCTGCAGGTACGACCAGCAGGCGCTGAGCCTCGATTTTCTGGAGCTGCTGCTGCGCTTCCTGCCCACTGAGTACGAGCGGATGCTCATCGGGAAGTTTGAGCGGGAGCAGCAGCCTGCGGAGGAGCTCTCGGAGGAGGACCAGTTCATGATCCGCTTCAGCAAGATCCCGCGCCTGGCCGAGCGCATGAACGTCATGATCTTCCTGGGCAACTTCAGCGACACAGCCCAGCTGCTCATGCCGGTGTGTGGGGCCGCGGGCGGCACTGGGGGGGCTGCGAGGGGGCGGCATCCTTTGGTGAGACTCACGTGCTTCCCTTCCACCCACAGCAACTCAACGCCATCATCGCCGCCTCCATGTCCCTCAAGTCCTCCAGCAAGCTGCGCAACATCCTCGAGGTGAGGGGCGTGAGGGGCAGCCCCAGTGGGGGACCCTGGGGCACGGGGGGCTGCTGGGGCGCGATGCCGACCTGCCTGGGGTGTCTCCTCAGATCGTCCTGGCCTTTGGGAACTACATGAACAGCAGCAAGCGTGGGGCAGCCTATGGCTTCCGCCTGCAGAGCCTCGATGCGGTACGTTGGGTGCGGGTCTGCTGTGCAGGCAGTGTCACTGCATGGGGATGCACCGTGGGAACAGGGATGCAGTGACCTGCTGTGGGTGGGGGGGACACGGGAAGCAGGCGTGGGGTGGAAGGGTGTGGGGAGCAGCTGTAGGGATAAAGGGCCTGGGGAGCAGCTGTAGGGATGGAGAGACACAGAGCTAGCTGGGGGGACAGAGGGATACATTGGAGCAGGTATGGAGATGGAGGGAGGTGGGGACTGGCTGTGGGGTTTGGAGGAGTGTGAGAACTAACCATGGGGTTTGGAGGGATATAGAGAGCAGCTGTGGGGATGGAGGGGCACAATGAACAGGTGTGGAGATGGAAGGGTGTGTGTGCACAGAAGGACATGGGAACCAGCTGTGAGCAATGAGGGCTACCCTGAGCAGGGAGCATTGGGCAGTGGGATGCAGGACAGGGCTAACACTGCTATCTCCCAGCTGCTGGAGATGAAATCAACAGACCGTAAGCAGACACTGCTGCATTACCTGGTGCGGGTGATCACAGAGAAGTACCCAGAGCTGACCGGCTTCCACACCGAGCTGCATTTTCTTGACAAGGCGGGCACAGGTAGCACCTGTGGGCATGGGGATGGGGGCCATGGGGGTGCAGCCCCCACCTGGGGACCATCTGAGCCCGCCCTGACCCTGGAGCTGGTTGCTGACCGCCCTCCCCGCAGTGTCCCTGGACGGCGTGTTGCAGGACGTGCGGAGCCTGCAGCAGGGCATGGAGCTCACCCGCAAGGAGTTCATGCGGCAGGATGACAGCCTCGTGCTCAAGGAGTTCCTCAAGGCCAACACGGAGCTGATGGAGAAGCTGCAGGCCGACAGCAAAACTGCCAAGGTGGGTGTTGGGCCCCCAGTCTTGTGTGGGGATGCCATGGGGCGCTCTCTGCTCATGCCTGTGCCCCCTGGAGGGCTGCTGCCAGCCCCCAGCCCCCATATCTCTGCCTCTGCTCACAGGAGGCCTATGAGTCGGCCGTGGAATACTTTGGGGAGAACCCCAAGACCAGTCCCCCCACTACATTCTTCCCCATGTTCATGCGCTTCATCAGAGCCTACAAGGTAAGAGGGAATGGGGATGTCCTGTTCCTGGGGGTTGGGAGGGGACAAAGCCACAAGTGAGGCCAGGGGCTCGCTGGTCATATGAACCCCAGCACTCAGAGTCATCCTTTGGGGCAGCTGCAGATCCCGGCTCCCTGAAGGTGCCAGGCTGGGCTGCTGGGGACCTCCAAGGAGGGGGAGGAGGGCACTGTGCTCCCCCAGCCCTGCAGCAGCCCCCAGCTCAGCGGGCCCTCCCTGTGCCTATCCTCAGAAAGCAGAGCAGGACATCGAGCTGTGGAAGAAACAAGAGGCTGCGGCCAAGGAGGCAGAGTCCGGCCGCCCCGGCAGTGAGGAGCAGCTCAACCTGAAGGTACCTGGTGCTGGGACAGTGCTCCGCAGCGTCGCCGCCCCAGCAAACCCCACTCAGCCACAGTCAGGAGGCAGCAGCCCGGATCTGTCTGTGCCCTCGTGGGGCGGCCTCACTGCACCCAGAGCACACTGCCTCTGGGAGAGAGCAAAAGGCTTCTTCCAGCTGGGCTGGGGGAGATGGGCAGCACGGGATGCACTGCTCACTCTGCTGCCCCCTCTGCAGTCACCATTCCAGAAAGCCAAGCGGCAGCAGATGGACATGATTGCTGAGCTGAAGAAGAAGCAGATGGTGAAGGAGCCGCTCATTTATGAAGGCAAAGACGGGGCCATCGAGGACATTATTTCAGGTGAGCGGCTGGGCATCCCCCCTGCACGCCCGGGGCTCAGGCCATGCCGGCACAGGGCCCCCGAGGGCAGGACAGCGGGTGGGCCACGGCTCATCACACAGTGGTGTTCTGGGCCTGGCCCCCAGCTCTGCAGTCTGTGGCACAGCAAGGACAGCCTCGGGGATATGGGGGTGTCAGCAAGGAGCGGAGAGCCCCGAGTGCTGTGCAGAGCCCAGGCCCACCTTCAGCACCTTCCTGTCGCACGCAGCGAGGCTGCCAACCTCTCTGCCCTGTCTCACGGCTCTTCCTCCTCTTCTGCTCCTTCTTCCTTTCCTCCTTCCTCCTTGCTGTCTCTGGATTGCTGTGCTCAGCTCTGAAAACTGTTCCTTTCACGGCCCGGACGGGCAAGCGCTCGTCCCGGCTCTTCTGCGATGTGAGCTTCAGCGAGGAGAGTCCCCTGTAGTGGCTGCCCGTAGGTAACGGGGCGGGGGGCGCAGGTGGGGGCTGCAGCATGGCAGATCTCCAGCGCTGGGTGCAGGCAGGGCTGGGAGTGGGGCGCACACAGCTGGATCCCGGCTCCTTCCGCCTGTGTGCTGCCGGTTGTGCTTCCACCTCGTAGCCAGGGGGTGAGGGAAGGTTCCATCCCGCAGCTGTGGGTACCGCTGGGGCAGGCAGGACGTGGCAGGCTGCTGCTCACTGCCACTCTGTGCTTTCTCCCGCTGCAGATCTGCGGAACAACCCGTACCGGCGTGCAGACAAGGGCCGCGGCAGCGCCAAGAAGCGGGCGGCGGGGCAGAGCCTGCAGGCCACGCCAGACATCTCGCTGTGAGGGGAACCGGGACCTGGGATGGCACGGGGTGCGGAGCGGTGCCCACGCTCAGTGCCGGCTGCCCCACTGCCCCGCACACCTTTGGGTCGACCGGGGCTGCCCCGGCGCTTGCTTAGTGATGCTGCTGAGCTCTTCTCCAGTGGGCAGAGCGGGGAGCGACGGGAGCCCCTGCCCAGAGCTGCTTTGTTGCACTCCAGGCCTCGGGGGCAGCCCTGCACCGCTGTGCCCCTTCAGCCTGCTGGTGCCTTTGACCTCCTGCTCCTGGAGAGGAGGAGGAGGGCTGCCAGACGGGGCTGCAGCGCTGCCGGTGCCCCTTTCATCCCTGTGGAGCCCTTTGACACCACGTTCTCCTCCACCGCAGAGCCGGGCGGGCGCAGGCTGCGCCTCTCCAGCACGGAGCTGCTGCAAACATCCCACCCTGGGCGCGAGCCCCAGGAGCTGGCAGGGGTGCTATTTTACACTCACTTTCTACGTCTTCCTGAACATCTCTGTGCTGAGGGAGCAGGGCCTGGCGCTGCCGTGGGTTCCCAATGGGTGAGCAGCGCTGGCCCGCGGCTCCCAGCCCTGCTGCTGCTGCTCACAGCCGTGCCCCACACTGCTCAGCTGCCCCCCGCTCCCTTCCCCACGGTCGCTGCCCACATCCTGGCCCCCCAGGAAAGCCACAGGCAGCGCAGCTCCCCGCTGTAACTACGCTGCTCAGTGCCATGCACCGCTCCGAGGGAGGGATGGGAAATGAATGTGTAACTTATAAATGCCTTTAAGCCAGAATGTAAAACATTAACTGCTCATTTGTATACATTATTATTTTTATATACCGAGGGCCTGTTAAAGCAGAACTGGTAATAAACCGACCCCGAGGGTGAAGCGGTGTCTGCGGGACGGGCTGAGCTGTGTGCTGGGAGCGCAGTCACGCAACCCGGCCGCAGCGCCCTCTCCTCGCTCTCTGGGACAGCACACCAATGAAAACCAGTAGTCTGCCTTTCTTTTCTTCATCCCTGGCTTTTATTTTTTTTCCCCCATGAAGCTGCAGGTGAAACGTTGGTTTCCAGAAACAGCAGCTTGATAAAGTGTCACACACGCAGTAGAACCAGCACTGCCCTCAGCCCTGCGCCGCTGTGCCAAAGCTGAGGCTTTTCCAAGGGCTGCAGGAAGGATTGATGTGACAAAAGCATTGTGTGCTGCTGCTCCGCTGGGCTGAGCTCGGGCCTACAGCCTGACCATGTTCTCATGCACGGCTTCAAGCAGACGTTAGCATGGATAACAAAAACCTTCCCTGAGTGTCAGCACCGTGCGGCCATCCTGGAAGTGGCATTTTTCAGCCTGCTGCAGCAAAACGAACCACAGCAACAGGAAGGCGGGCTGGCAGCAGGAGAGAAGAGAGCCCACAGGGCAGGCAGCACAGCCTTAAAGCCGCATGGATCAGCCCCTGCGTGGGCACAGTAGGAAAGCACCACAGCTTTGTGCCAGGGGCTGCTGCAGAACTGCGCAGGGTTTGGGGGAAAGGAGCAGGACGGAGGGGTGGCGATGCTGTGTGGGGACTGGAGGATGCCCACAAACCCCCCATCCCAGCTTCACACCAGACTGCTGTGCACCCGCAGCCCTCAGAGCAGCATTAATGCTGAAGGTGAAGTGCAAAGCCCTGCAGTCTGCGCTCAGAAATGCATCATGTTTTAGTGGGACGCTTCCTCCAGCTGGGAGCCCGTTTCAGACAGCGGATTTAGTAAGTGCTTCAGAACAGAAAAGTGCTAAAAGATACCCACGGAGGGGACGGGTTTAAGTTTTCTTCAAGAGTTCCACTTCCCTACTGCATCACAGCTGTACGGTTCTGGTTAAGGACAACACTGCCACGTGTGGTGGGAGCCAAGGAGAGCAGCTACAGGGCACTGCTCCTCAAAGCAAAGGTCCAGAGCTGAACTTTTTTGGGCTGTTTTAAGTGAATTTCCCTTCAATGGCCCCACCTCGCTGTGTCTCCCAGACAGCTTGGATTGGGCCCACCTGTTACCAAAGGGAGAGCAGCACCTGCCCACCCAAATTCAGCACACGCAGTTTCAATATACTACAAAAAAGAAATGCACAGATCAGTAAAAAAGTTCACCAGAAATTAAGGCACAAAGCGCCCATCTGCTGGCCCAGTCCATGCCTCGCTGAGCGGGTGAGGAGGGGCTGAATCCACGACTGAATGTGGGACTGAGAGAGGAGATGGAATCTGGTGGCAGAATGCAGTTTGTCTGAGCTGACATCCTCTGCCCCATCACCTGCAAGGGAGCTGTGGGGGCAGTGGAGCTCTGCTCCTCCGGCCCCAGCTCCTATGGCAGGAGGAGATATGAAGATGAGAGCTGCAAGCAAATCTCTTTCTGGAAACAAAGCTCTTTTGTGATTCAGAAAGGAAACGTCTGTGGAAGGTGAAACCCAGAACCCAGGCAGTTACTGCTGTGTCTTCCCCGTGTGAAAGGCTCGGGCAGAGGTGCCGCCACCACAGCCTGCAGCCACGTTCTGGCCTTCCTCCAGCCCGGAGGACACCAGCCTGCTCCCCTGGGCGCTGACAGCAGCTCTGAAGACGCTCAGCCTCCTTCCAGCCCGGGAACACCGGCTTCCCTCGGCTGAGCAATAGGAGCTCCCATCCAGTCTCCACGTTCTCCTGAAAAGGACACTCGCATTCCTCTGAAGAGCAGGAATCTTCATCTCCCATTCTCAAGCTCAATCTAGCACACCCAAAACAAGCACTGCCCACTGTTCTGGGGAACATCTACGCTTCAGGACATGTCCTGAACAGGGCTGGAACAGCAGCGAGGTGAGAGCACCGTGCTGAGCTGCTATCCTACTTCAGCACCAGCCTCCAGCGCGCGGTGCTCCATGGCAGGGGTGCTCGGAAGCTTTTGCAATTCCACATTTCACAAGGTAAAAACCTCCCGAAAGGAGCGGCCTCACGGCCTGTTCTCCAGCTGACCGTGTTTGACTCTCCACGCCCAGCTGACGCTGCAATCCGGGGCCAGGGTGCACTGCAGCTCAATCCCCGAGTCGGGGACTTCCATGTCGTAGTGAATGGGGCGGCCTTCCTTTGTCACCAGGCTGAAGGCGGGGACGGGTATCTGTGGAGCAGAGCAAACAGAGCTGAGCAGCACATCACATCCCTTAGCAAAGCATCACAGCCCCAGGAACGCTGCAGCAGGGAGGTGCTGTTAAAGACGGAGCTCGACTGCGATGCACGCAGTGGTTGTCATTCAGAAAATACCTTTTCCTATCAACAAGCACTGAAATTACTTTACTAAGTGCATCGTTAGGTCCCTGGTTCACTGTTTTAAGGCATTAGGAGGCTGCAGGATAGAAGAAATGGCTTGAACAAAAGACTGCAATAGCCCTGGCCCTGTGCCTCACCTGGCTGCTTATCCCAGTGGCAATGTCTCCCACCTTTGTCCTGTGGAAATCCCTGATGTGTAAATTTTCTCCACTTAGCAACTGGATCTGGATTTTCACTCCTGAAAGACACAAGAAAAGTCCTCAGCTCCAGCTGTGGGCACAGCAGCTTCACAGTCCCACGCAGAAGCACTGACTAACGAGGCACAGCCATCGAAGGTGCTTCCTTCTGTCATCAGGAATTTTGTTCAGGTAGGTCCTGGCACAAAGGATGGCTGGAGACAAAGGTGACTCACAGAGCAGAGCTGGGCCTAGCGAGAAAGCAGCTGAAGACATGCTGATTTGCACAGCGTGGATTGCTCTGTAGAAATGAATGGTTGTGCAGCACCTACTCTGCACACAGCAGATGCATGAGGTGTAAAGCTGAATCAGTCTCGGTGGGTCCGGGAGCATCTGTGGCCTTCAGTTGGCTACACAGAGTCGAGTGCCCCCCACCCACCTGCAGGGAGCAGACGTGGCCCCGTGGCAGCCCTGACCCTGGTAACACAGCAGCTGAGGGCTGAGGAGGGCCCAGGACAACGCCGGGCAGCGAGGAAGCTGTGTGTATGTGCCTGCTTGCTGACTTCAGGAAGGGGGGCTCACCATTGAAGCAGCTGGGGGTGTCCGTGTGGCGGCCGCGGCTCAGCACGTTGTTCCAGCTGAAGCTCTGTCCGTCTGTCTGGCTGTTCCAGGAATGGATGCCGGAGCTCATGGTGTCCCGCAGGCTGAGGGAGGCCTTCATGGAGTTCTGCAGGAGGAAGCATGAGGCCATCAGAGACTCTCAGTGAAATGGAGCTCCTGTGGGACAGCAAGCAGGGAACAGCCCCAGGGGAAACAAGGCAGAAATCCGTCAGGGTGCGCCTTGAGTTACTCAGCACTCACCCACCAGCCAGGAAGGACCGACAGCAGCGCTGTGCGGATATAAACAGCTGTTTGCAATAGTCAAACTGTTCGGCTGAAGAGTTGGATGGGAAAAAAAAGGGGTTTTCACCACACCCACAGCACAATAAAGCATCAGATAAATCTAATTTCATTAAGAGATAACGCACAGGAAAAGCAGCAGCTGCGCTGCTTAGAAGAGCCTGCGTTGTCTGAGTCAGGGGAGGTCAGTGTGACAACAGCAGCGTGTTGGTAAGCACCAGGGCAGCTGCTGGGGGTTGGTGTTGTGCAAAGGAAACAGAGAAGCACAGAGCTGTGCCCCACAGCGCACTGCTTGGCTTTGGAAATGACGATCGAAGGGCATGCAGTCAAATCACACCCATCCCTGGCTCAATAAGGCTCACTCAGGTGGTTTTTTCTACTGGTATTCCCTACCCTGCACGCAGCAGGGTTAAAGCAAACCAAACTAATGAAGCTTGGCGTTAAGTAGATTGTAGCACCGCTGGGTGCAGGTTAGCAGAGCCTAACCCCCATCGCTGCTCACCTTCTCACTGGCGTCTGACACAAACGGGCTGTCAATGCTCAGACACGAAAGCATTTGTTCCTGCTCTTCCAGTGAGTATGGCTGAGAAAGGCTGTTCAGAAACAGCTCTGCAAGCAGACAGGAAAAGAAAACATTTCCAGTGATTCTTTTCACTCCTTCCTGCTCCAATCCCAGACACTACAATTAATCCCCAAAGCGTCTTCAGCACTGCAGAGCAAACACTAACACCTGTGTTTGTGGAGCACCCAACACAGCTCCTCTGCACGCGGCAGCTATCGCTGCTGCCATGAGAACCGAGCCAGGACAGGCAGCTGAGCTGAGCACCCGCTGCACGCTCCGTACCTATTTCCAGCTGCTGGAGCTCTTGCTCAGAAATGGTGCTTGCTCTCTCTGTATGGCTGCAGCTCTTTAAGGGGAGGGGAGCGAAGGAGAGAGGAGGAGGATCCCAGGTCCTGGACAGATCCCTGCTCTCATTCCAGCGCGTTCCCTCGCCCTGCCTCGCTCGCTCCAGGGCTGGTGGTGGCACAGGGCTGGCACTGCAGCCTCGGGCTGCCAGTTCTGGGTCAGGAGCGGCCGAAGTGGGGCTCGCTGTGGGGGGCAGGGACGTCTGGGGGCTGTTCTCTTTGTGCAGTGCCAAACGCCTGGGCGCTCTGTATTCGCCTTTCCAGGGGCTTCTCACACCTCCCACTACAAAAACAGAGAACACACAAACGTTGTCCTAGAGAGGCAAAGGCTTCCTGTCACTGAATTGTCTCTTGTTGCAAAATGCCCAGATTTTTCAGAAGACAAAACCAGATGAAGCCCACAGACTCTTGGTGCACAGCAGCAGGCAGGACTGATAGAAATTATGGGTTGTCTCAGAGGGAAGGGAGGGGGCCACAAGCACGAGTTACAGCCGAGGATGCTGCAGCTCTGTTCCCAGCTTTGCTGCACAGCAGGCTCCAGGCAGCAGACACTGAACACTTCACAAGCGTGTGTGAAGCACAGCATCGTCTGCTTCATGCAGACAAGGAAAAGTGTGACAGCACATAGGAAATCACAGCGTACTTGGGGTCCCTTTGGGGTAAAATCAATCTCTTTCAATGCAGGGAAGAGCTCTCAACCCAAAGTGCACCTCAGCGCTGAAGCCAAGCGATAGACTGAGCAGAAAGCAGAACGCAGTGCAAAAAGCACCACCACT